AGTTCCATTAGCTTGTTAAGGTAAGAGCCATGCAAAGAGGCCATGTATAGAGAGAAAGACAGTGAGAAAGAGAGAGTGAAACTCTACAGAGAGAGGGAAGCCTAACATTTCCAGGGTCGCAGCTGAGCCTGCTCCCAAATTAGCTGCCAGCTAAAAGTCTTACTATTCATGATCACTGGCATGACCAGGACTATGCAGATGAGCAAGAACAGTTTACAAGAATCAAGAGCAAGTAAGATAGTAGGCCACTAAGACTGGAGTGGCTTGTCACTGCAACAGAAATGGAGGTATGTGTGCCTTGACAGCACAGACCAAGGGACAGGAACAGTTTTGAAGTCCTACCTCATTTCTAGCTTTGCTTTGGTGTTTTGCTTTGTATTAAGGACTCCTAAGTACCAATTCCTTTGTTCCCTGTTGGTCTGATCAGCGCACAGCAGAGATATTTAGTTGTGACTTTAGAATATTTGGATGGAAACTTTGAGCACCCTCAAACATAAGGACAGACCAATTATCAGACAAAGCTAGGACTCCTAGTGTAACTTAAAATAGACAATACCCATCCCTTCTGCTGTAAGTAGCAGAATAAAAAATGTAAGTGGAAACCTTTAGGGAAAATTGTCACACCAAGATGTGGAGGTCAGGCACAGGTCTCTGGGTCCCACGGGAGGAAAGAGGAAGAACAGCAAGGGCGGAATGACCAGTCTTTGCCACAGAGCACCAGCATTTGTTGTTTTTTGGTTTTTTTTTTTCCGGTATGGGAATCGAACTCATGATCTTGCGCTTGCCAGGCAGGCACTGTGCCACTGAGCTAAATCCCCAGCCCGAGCATCAGAATTTGCCTCAGCTTTCAGGAGGGCTTTCTGTGGTTCTGGTTTCAAAATATAAATGAAGATTCTTCCTGTCTTGGTGGGTCTCCCTCTGTGGCCAAGCTCCAGAGTAGGAGCTGGGCCACAGTGAGATTTTTTTTCAGGTGAAAAACATTTTTAGGCAATGCTGATTAGTGGGAAGGGTAAGGAGGTAGAGTTTTTATTGACAGGATGTTTGGACAGAGACGGGATGTTGAAGGCAGGAGCCAGTGTTTCCCAAGGTTCTTTCTTAAAATACATTGAGTTTGGCTTCAGGGCTTCTGACTCACTCCCAGGCCAGGCATTCAATCTTGGGGCGATTTTGAGTATATTCCCAAGAGCGCCTAGGGAGACCAGCTCGTTCCCCACCTACAGTATCCACAGAAACATCTGCTGTAGCTTATTAGGAAGTCAAAACAACTGGCCGTCCATCCATCATCTTTTCTGGTAAGGACACATTCTTGTCGGCTGATGCATGCCCCTCCCTGAGGGGTCACTCTGTGCCTGGGTGCTCCTGTAAAACTGTGAAATGATTTTGATGATCCTTCAAAGAGACTCTTACATCCTAGTTTATTTAACCTTCTCACAAGAATAGCAAAACTTCTCTTTAGGGAATCATGGAATGACTACTGATTCATTAGATAAGCCACGAGTCCTGAGCACGAGCAGCTAAAAATGACCTCTCAAAGCCAATTTGTTAGTCTTCTGTCAGGTAACCCGGCAGACATTATAGAAAACAGCCCGGACTGGAGTTAGCAGACCAAGGTTCAGTGCACAGTCCTGGTCATACTATGTGACCTCAGGCAGGTACCTTGGTATATCAGGGTCTTAATTTCCTCTTCCACAAAAATGGAAGTAATAATATTTATCTTGTCAGTTTTATAGGGTTCATAAGAGGTCAGAATGGAATGGGGTCCCGTTAAAGCATCAGATGCTTGCATTCAGTCTTATAACAGCACCACCACTCAGCCGTGCCGCCCATCCCGGAATTCGGTCTGTGACATGGAATTCACTGCGACAAGGTCCACTGAATTGTGGATCGCTCTGCATTCAACCCAGCTATCCCCCTGCTGGGTATTTTCCCAGAAGATCTAAAAACATCATATCACAGTGATATATGTGCACCTATGTTCATAGCAGCACAATTTGTAATTGCTAAAATGTGGAAGCAACCCAAATGTCCATCCACCGAGAATTGGATAAGAAAATTGTGGTACTTTTATATAATGGAATATTACTCAGCTATAAAGAAAGATAAACTCGAGGCCTTTATATTTAAATGGTCACAACTAGAGACCATACTCATAAGTGAAATAAATCAAACATACATGTGCAAGCACCGCATTGTGTCACTAGTGTAAAACTTGAAAGAGTTAATTTAAACTCGGAGGTATGATAGACACTGTGAAATGATAGGAAACCAATGAAGAGTAAAGGGCTTCTGGGATGTGGGAAAAGAGAAGGGAAAGAAGGAGAAATTTTGTATGTATGTATATACAGGATAGTTAACATGGTTGTTCTTCTGTCTTCTATTTCTATGCTGAAAGAAACTGTCAATGAGCCTTTGGTTGACCAGTATTGCATGTCTATATCTGTTTTCATGAGAAGCCACTTTGAAGATATCAATATGTAATACAACCACCATTGTTAATTCCCTACCACTTTGTTTGTAACTCTGTATTGTCTGTATTGTGCTTGTGATATGTTGTAAAATGTTGTATGTCTGTTAATGTTTCCCTCCTTTTATCTTTAAAATAAAAAAAAAAATGAATTGTGGATCGCTCTGATTTATTTTGCTTTCGAAGTGGTCTCTTTTTACATTCTGTCAATTTGTTCTTGTCCACTGGATGGAAACAAGTCCGACTCCCTCCTGGGAGAACTGCTGTCAGATGTCTGGAAGTAATACTGCATTCATGATTCAGAGGCAACTCTGCGTCTCTCCATCCAGTTAAGCCTTTTGTTCCTTTTGCTATCGTGATTACTGTTATACAAATTTGCTTTAGATAATTTACGACCCTCAACATGTCTTGTGTAATCCTGAATGTAGTTTTCAGGATGGACTGCAAGAGGAAGAATGAAGTGGGTGTTCACCTCCCTTCTTCTAAACGCTATGCCTCTATTAATGCAGCTGAGCCTTGAATTAGCTTTGTGGCAGCCACATCTCAATGGCAGCGCTTCCTCCATAACCCCAGCTGCAAATACCTAACTTTCTGATAACCGTCTCCCTTCTTTCTAACTCATTTATGGAATGAGTCCCCCATTCAACAATGCTCAGATCTCAGCAGGACTAACAGTCCACCTCCCACTTTCCCACTGTTCCTTAGCCCTCCTCTGCTCTCTGTCCTCATGTTCCTTCTTACTTGTGACACATCATTGTAATTACTTCCTCAAGTACACCAGCAACTCTTTCCCTGTATCTTTTGTCTGGCACAGTTCCAACCCTCATTACACCTACTCTGTCTCCTCCTGCCTCATACCCAGACAGTGGAAGCTGGCTAAAGACACACAAGAACAGGTTGACTGGGCTGGGTGTGATGGCACACGCCTGCAAACCTCGCACTTGGGAGGCTGAGGTGGGAGGATTGCTGTGTATTTGAGGCCTGCCTGAGCTACATAGTGAGTTCAGGTCAGCCTTAACTACATAGCAAGACCCAGTCTCAAAAAACAAACAAACAAACAAACAAATGAACACCAATAACAACAAAGGACAGGTTAAGTACCAGTCTTGGTTTGTTCATGTTGCTATAATGGAACATTAAATTAATTGATAAAATACATTTATTTCTCACAGTTCAGGTGCAAAGTCCAACATTAAGGTACTGGCATCTGGTGAAGGCCTTCTTGCTTCGTTGTCCCATGACTGAACATGAAAGAGCAGGAGAGCTCCAGGGCGCAAGAGACTGAACTCAGAGCCTTACGTCCTTTTGGAGTATTAACCCATTTGCCAGAGTGGAGCCTTCATGACCTACACCCCTCATCCCAGCATTACACTGTTGCATCAGGGATGAAGTTTCCAACGCATGCTTTTTGAGGACACATTCAATTCATACCACTGCCCTAAGTTGAGTTCATGACCAGTAACCTCAGGCAGACTCACAGAGCTTCCCAGGGGCCATATCCTGTCCCTAGACCTGGTGTTCTCTTTCTTTCACACTTTCTCTATTCTTAAACCTCAGATGCTTTATTCTCTGTCATTACTCTTAGCTGATGACACTATTTTCAACGAGATGGGACTTACACATGCTCCTTCCACCACTTGCTGCTTTTGTGCCTAATATTCTGTCTTCCCTCTCTCCCTGTTGATGTTTTCTGTGCTCTAAAATTAAGCTCTCCACTTGTGTACTAGAGAATTAACCCTCTAGCTTTCTCAAGAACTTCTGCCCCATCCTATGCTCCATCATTAATTTCCTCTTCTTTACAGGATCACTCCCAACCCTCATGACAAAAATATTGTTTTTCTCTCTTTTCAAGTGAGAGGGAGACCTGCTTTTTCTCTGGGACCCATGAGCTGCTGAAATTCTAGCTTGCCCAGCTTGATGGTGGGGTGTTACCAAGGACCCACCCCAGCAGCATACCAGCCACAGCAGGGGAGCGGGTGGCCAAAATAGATGGGGCAGGCCAGAGAGGTGGAGCTGCAAAGTCCTGCACCACAGTGAAGAGATGACACTTCATAAATCTAGTAGGTTCAGAACCTGTGTGGTCTGCCACAGAGGCTCATTAACACCGCCTTGTCCTTACATCTAGGTGGAAGATGACGACAGACGTGGCAAGCTCTCTTCCAAAGCCATTTCTTCAGGGCCTCTTCCTCCTCCACTTGCAAAATCCCCATTTGTGCTGAGCACATGGAACAGCTCAGGCCCAGAGGGTTTTCCTGCTTGGAACAGCAGATACTTAAGTGCCTCCTGACCACACAGCCTGCAGTCATCAAGCCTCTTCCCTTCCCTCCCCTCTCTGCTCCCAAAGATTCTCCCAGAGAATGACCGCTTTCACCTCTAGTCTTCCAAGGACATAGTGTCAAGTTGGAATTTTCAGACCACAGCAAAGCATGTATCTACTGCCTCTTCTCTGTGATTTGCCAAAAATCAACACTGACCTCAGTCATGGTATCTCTTAAGAGTATGCACTCTTGTCAAAGAGATAGCGTGGCCCACGTACTTATCTGTCACAGCCTGCATGAACTCGTCCAGCAAGTCATCATACTCCTTCCCGCGCACACGCTGGTGTTTCAGACCAATGTACAGAGGGTCTCTGAGCAGCTCCTGGAACAGAGAGCATTCATTTACTGAGCCTGCTCCCACTGTCCCTGATTATTATTAGCATCTTTTTTTAACAGGTGTCTAGATTTAGCGGGAAAAGCCAGGGGTCAGAGGGGAAGAGGAAGTAGGAAGCTGGCTGGGTCCCAAACCCTATAATGGTCATCTCTGGAAAGTCCTGCAGGCAAAGCCATGAAGAATGAATTATGGGGTTCCCACTTTAGGAATAAATGGAGCTTTGACCCAGGTAATCCTCTCACACATAGGCTTTCAACCTTAGGCTTTGGGTTTATTTCAGGAGTTCTCAACAGTGGCACTATTGATGTTTTTGGCTTCGATGTGAGAGCTCAACTGCACTTGCAGGATTTTTGCAGCATATCCAGCCTCTAGCCACTATAATTCAGCAGCATCTGTGACAATGAAAAATGTCTGCAGACATGGCCAAAGTTCTTGTGGGCAAAATTGATCCTGGTTAAGAACCACTGTAAACTGACTTTAGGCAGCATCTAGATTGAGGTATTGGGTCTTACCCAAGGCCGCTGATATGGACTCAATTAAAAGATCATCAATTTATTCATTCATTAATTCACTGTAATCTTATCTAACCCATGTCTCACACTATGCCAAGTCCTGGAAGATACAAAGGCACCATGATACTACTGGAAATTTTAGCTTAACAAAGATGCTCACCTTACTCCCTGGCCTGTGGCAGGGTGACCCTCCATCCTGCCTCTTGCAGGTCTTTCCATCATAGCAGTCGTATGTTGCTGTGTCAATGAGCTTTCTCACTGGATTTTCTGCCTCACTATTTTCCTGTGAATCAGTAGACCCACATAGGCTTTCTTTCCCTCCTTCCCCACTCTCTTCCTTTCTTTCTTTCTTTCTTTCTTTGAATGTTCATAGAAGCTATATATGTAAGAGCCTCCCTCAAATGGGAGAAACTCAAATTTTCTTTCATGAGTGAATAACTAAAAAAAACTGGTTCATCCATACTATGAGTTTATATATATATATATATACACATACTATAGAATGCTACTCAACATCTGTAAAAAGAAACAAACTATTGACATGTGCAACAACCTAGGCAAATCTTAAGAGAATCATGTTGTGTGAAAGAAAGCCAGTTCTCAAAACCTACACACTACCTGATTCCATCTACAGTATATAACATTCTTGAGCTGACAAAATTATAGGGATGGAGAACAGGTCAGTAAATAAGGAGTCAGAGAGAAAAAGGAGGAATGTGGATATGGTTGTAAAAGGGGAGCATGAAATATCCCTGTAATGAAATTGTTGCCATATCTCGACTTCTGTGATGGTACAGGAATCTACACACATCATAAATTGCAGGAAGTGAAACACACACCCATATAAACACAAACCCATACAAAACCTGTGAAATCTAAATAAGGTCTGTGGATTGTAGCAAGGCCAGTTTCCTGTGGTGATATTGGACTAAAGTTCTCTAAGGTGTTACCGTCGGGTGCCACTGGGTAGTGGCTAAATAGGATTTCTCTATATTACTTCTGAGAACTCCATGTAAATCCACATTATTTCAAAATAGAAAACAGATTCACTGTGTTAAAATATTTGCAACTCATAAAATAAAGAGATGACATATTTATTAATCACTTACTATCCATGAGAACCAGTGGGGTATTTGTAGGTGCGTGAGCAGGGTTGTTGCCTTCAGGGTGCTCACTGTCTATTGCAGGCTGCATGTGAGCAAACTTAACTGTACTGCAGGGCAGGGTGACGATGCTTTGGAAAATGCGGGGCACATGGAAGCACAGAAGGAGTGAAGTAATTTCCCTCGGGTCGTGGGTGGGGATTGTGTCATGGAGAAAATCTTCAGGCAATTAAAAACTGTTGGCCACATTTTGGCTTGCCTGAGCCACCTTGAGTGAAGAGAAATTGTCTTGGGCCGTAAATAAACTCTATAGTACAGTTAATCTATAAGTACAAAACTTCTCTTATTTTTAAATGTTTTTTTTTTTTATAACAGAAAAAGGACCACATGAACATAAAGCTAGAGGGGTATTTGATCTTGTGAAACTGAGGTATAAATGTCTTGTTTAATGGAAGTAGGTACAATGCTTAGTGAGTTCTTAAGGTGCTCATCAGAAACTGTTGAGCTAATTGTATTGTGTGATTCATTCTTAAAAATAGTTGTTCAGGAATGTGTTACTACCAAAAAGTGAATTCATGAATGATGCAGACTGGTGATAGTTCTTATAAAAGTCTAGTAGACAGACATGATCAAATTTTTTTGAGTTGAATGATTCTAATTGTATACATTCCAAATACTAATAAAAAAGCAACCATTTCTTTTTCTAGTGTTAATGATGTCATATATGTAATTATAACAAGATCACAAGCAAAAGCCTATTTGATGTGTCTGTGTACTTCCTATACCACAGCTGCTGAAATGTTATTTTACCCTATAAAATTATTTTACAAAGCAACACAAGTTAAAGTTTAATAATTAGATAAGAAAACTTATATGTCTGCTTAATAACAGTAAGCCACATCTTCAAAGGCACATACATGTGTAGATAGGTAGAAATACTATATTGTTAATGGCTGTGTTTGCCTTGTCAAGTTGTACAGGCTCATGTCGTGTCTGTGACATGTAGATTTTGATTTGATTGCACTGTTCCTTCCCCTCCTCAGCGTTCTGTTGTAGCCTGTGCAGCCTGTGTTCATGCAATTGAGTCATAAAACATCACTAAAAATCACATAATAATGTTAAAAGTTTACTATCTTGTGGGGCCATATCACTACTCTCCGGGGCTATGTGTGGTACTAGGTCTGTGGGTTGAACATGCCTATATTAAAAGATGGGCACATTTCAACAGGTGTTATGGGCCCTTCTGGCTGAGGAGATTGCACAAAGAACACATGGGGGTTGGAGGCAGAAGGAGGAAAAGAACCTGGTATATTTGTGAAATAGGGAAGTAATTCCCAATGTTAAGAGGAATTATTTATTTTTGTGTCTAGCTCATCAAATTTATGAGCTCCTTGAGCATATGGTTCTGTCTTATGTTCATCTGTGATATCTTTAGCTTCATCCAAGCAGCTGCCACAGGATACAAGGATGAGGACAACTTGGGTCTAACCTCAAGGGGCTTCGAGTCAACTCTCATCTCTCCCACCAAAAAGCCATGTGATTATGCATGAAGCATGTAACAGTTCAGAGGCTTCTTCTCATCTGTCAAATGGGGATGAGTTACCAACTGGAGCAGGTGGTTGTGCTGACTGAGTGAAATAATAGGAAAGAGCTTTGTGAATTACAACACAGGCTATAAGAGAGTAGCAGCACATGTAACTTTCATAGTGCTTCCTATGTGCCACATATTGTTCTGAGAGCTTTAATTAACTCCCAGGTCATGATGGCCATGGAAAGTTTTGAATCAGAGAACTCTCTTAAGAGAAGCTGCAGAAGGGAGGATAGCTGCAGGGCAGTGGTCCACTGCCACACTCTCTACTGGCAGCTTTATGACTGGGCATGGAGGGGGCCTAGGGCAGGCCATTCCTGCCCAACTAATTCTCTAAGCAGTCTTTGCTGTGGGATGTCCCTCTCTAGCCTGAATGAGACTCGCCAGGCTGTCCTGCAGTCACAGCTCTTCTTATTCATTTCTTGGTCCTTCATCTTCTCCTTTCCCAAGAAGCTGACCCATTTTGTAGTCTGAAGGCCTTGTACACTTCCGATGTTAGGAAGAATTATCTATTTTTGTGTATTTCCAGCTACTCCTGGCCCCTCCCCTTTTTCCCTCATGGTGTTTCTCTCATGAATCTCTCATGTCTATTTCTTGGAGACCCTGAGAGGTAGGTCTCATTATTTGCCCCTATGTTGCAAATGAAGCAAGAAGTTACAGAGACAATATGCAAACTGCCCAAGACCTTGGGCTGATAAAGACAAGAGGCAAGATTCAAACTCAGAATCTGTGGTTTTAACACTCAGCCATGCTGCTTTATTGGCTGTTTTGTACATTAACAAAGACAGACTTAGAATTTTTTAAGCCACTGTTCCAGAGACATACTGCATAGACATCGCTGTAGGAGGTGGCAGGGGAAAGGTGAAGGGACCAGAAAAGAGTGGGAAGTATCAGCCTTCTCAACCTCTTACCCCTGTCCTGGGTTCATATAATTTGTGTGAAGTGGGTTTAGCACTTTGTTTAAGATATCACAGGTCTAGAAAGATATCACAAGTCCTAATCTCCTTCCTTACTCTCCTCATCTCCTAGACTGACCTTGAAACTATTAGTTTTCTTGGTAATTCTTCCTTAGTAGGTGTGTGTGAAGGATGAAGCTGAGACAAATCTGGTGTCTACCTTCTTATATGTCACCTGGAAATGATTATTTAAAATCCACTTAGAGATAGCAAACATCCAGGTAAGGGAGTGGTAAACAATGGTAGAAGAGCTGGATGGACAGCTGGGCAGTCATTAAAATGAGGGGTGGTTAAAACCATCTTATGATTTGTGTCTGAATGTCTCCCCAAAGCCTGATGCAGTAATAGGGGTGGGCTTTTCAAAGACAGCTTGTTAATCTTGGATCACTTGTTTTTCTGCCCTCACCTCAGGAAACAGAGTTACAGCATTTCCAGCTTGACTCAGCAGGGGGCCAGGGTCCTCACTTTGCAAACATTTTCAGCCTGTGCAAGAGGAGGACACGAAGATGGTGTGAGTGCTATACTGCCTTAGGGCGGGTAGACTGCACACAATGTAAGGGAGGAAAAGAGGCTTGCTTCTCCCTTTTTGATCTTGTTGCCACCTTGAACTGTTGCTCCTCATGCCACTCTGTGGTGGAGCCAGCTGACTGCAGACTGAAACCTCCACAAACTGTGAGCTAAATAAACCTTTCTTTCCTTAATTTTGTGTGTTGGGTATTTCATCTCAGTAAGGGAAAAGTAACTAACACAAATCATGTAGCCATATGGACAAATGTATATGAGATTTTTAAAGTGAAAAAAGAAAAATGCAAGGTTATGTAGATTCCAT